TCTCCCTCTCCCACTCCCCCTGCTTGTGTTCCCTCTCTCGCTGTGTCTCTGTCTGTCAAAAAAATAAATAAAATCTTAAAAAAAAAAAAAGTTCTGGAGGTGGATGGTGGTGATGGTTGTACATTAGGAATAGATCTAGTGCCACTGAACTGTGAGCTTAAAATGTTTAATATATATATTTTAAAGATTTATTTATTTGAGAGAGAGAAAGGGTGGGGAGGGGCAGAGGGAGAATCCTAAGCAGACCCCTGACTGAGCTCAGCACCGCACGTGGGGCTCGATCCCAGGACCCTGAGATCACGACCTGAGCCGAAATCAAGAGTCCGATGCTCAACTGTCTGAGCCACCCAGGGGGCCCTAAGATATATATTATGTTATATGTATTTTACCATGATAAAAAATTAGAAAAAACATCCTAATAATTTTTATAATTCCTTTTTAGAATTCTTGCACCCCTTTGAACAGATGACTCCTACAGATAAGAAAATGGCATCTTCTCAATAGAATTGCCAGGGGTTTGCTGGTGGTACATAAAAATGCCACAGACTTTTTTTTTCTTTTCCATCTTTTGTTACACTAGCTACAACTTCAATGCAATATTAAATAAAAGTGAAGACACGTATAGAAGATACTTCGAATCATTATCCATTTGGGGCATCTCCCCTAGGCTCTTATTTTTATCGACGTGCTTTACTAACGTAAAGGAAATTCCTTCTCATGCTCTTTACTAAGAGATTTATTCTTTTACATAATGAATCAATGTTGAATTGCTTATTGAGATGATCATGAAATTTCTGAGTCTGTCTCTGGGTGACTTGCATTTATGGATTTTCTAATGATAAACCAAACTGGAGTTTTGTGATGCACCCCGTTGGGTCACAGTGTATCATCCCTTGTAGACTGGGGTGGGTGTGAACTGTTAATTTCTGGAACTTGATGTGTGTCTTTTCCTTTTTTTTTTTTTTTAAGTAGGCTCTATGCCCAGCACGGAGCTCAATGCAGGTCTCAAACTCACGACCCTGAGATCGAGACCTGAGCTGAGATCAAGAGTTGGAGGCTTAACCGATGGAGCCCCCCAGGTGCCCCTATATTTTCCTTTCTTATAATGACTGGTCTGGTCTGGTGGTGACGTCAGTGTCAGTCAGTGCCTTCTTAGGAGAAGGCGTGTGGGTTTCACACTTTCCCTCTTTTGGGGGGAAGATCTTGTTTAAAGCTGGGCTGATAAATGGCTTAAAATTTTGATAGAACCCATCTTTAAAATATCCATGCCTGGTGCTTTTTTTTTTTTTTAAATAAGATTTTTTAAATGGGCCTATTTTTCATGATGATTTCCACAATTGTTATTTCTTTTTTTTTTTTTTTAAAGATTTTACTTATTTGAGACAGAGAGAATGAGAGAGAGAGCACATGAGAGGGGGGAGGGTCAGAGGCAGAAGCAGGCTCCCTGCTGAGCAGGGAGCCCGATGCGGACTCGATCCAGAGACTCCAGGATCATGACCTGAGCCGAAGGCAGTCGCTTAACCAACTGAGCCACCCAGGCGCCCCACAATTGTTATTTCTATGCTCCCTCTGTTGGGTCAGGTTTACAGAGGTATAATCTACATCAGTAAAATTCAGCCATTTTACTGTGCGGATCTATGAGTTCGGACAAATGCACACAGTCAGAGAATAATCACCTCACTTCAGACTTCCCTTGTGCCCCTTCATTGTCGAGTCCTCTGTCCCCCTGGCCTCTGGCAGCTGATGACGTGTTTTCTGGCCTATAATTTTACCTTTTCCAGAATGTCATGTACATGGGACCACACAGCGTTTGCAGTCTGCGCTCCTCACTTAACATGCATTCAAGGCTTACTCATATCACAGCTGCCCTGACTTACTCTGTTCCTTCCATTGCGTGGATGCACTGATTGTTTACCTATGTTTTGTTTCTTTCTAATTTGAGGAGGTTTTTGTTGTTTTTACACGAATTTCCCTCTTGCAGGATGTTTGTGCTATTGCAGGTTTTAGATTATCTTGCATAAAGCCAGTTTACATGTTTGCATCCAGGTTTCTCTGTGAATGCAAGCTTTCATCTCCCTCGCTCATGGTACGTCCCTGTTTAACTTCGTCCTCACCGGCCTTTGGCTTTATCAGCTTTTTTTTTTTAAAGATTTTATTTATTCATTTGACAGAGAGAGAGAGCGAGAGAGAGAACACAAGTAGGGGGAGTGGGAGAGGGAGAAGCAGTTTTCCCGCTAAGCAGGGAGCCCGATGTGGGGCTCGATCCCAGGACCCTGGAATCATGACCTGAGCTGAAGGCAGACGCTTAACGACTGAGCCACCCAGGCGCCCCTCAGCTTTTTGAAATACTGTTTTCATAGGTGTGCATTTGTCTTAATTTGCATTTTCCTAATGACGAATGACGTCGAGTACTTTTTCACATGACTGTTTGCCATTCAGGTGGCTCCTTCTGTGAAGTGTTTAAATCTTTTCAGGAGGGGCGCCTGGGTGGCTCAGTTGGTTAAGCGACTGCCTTCGGCTCAGGTCATGATCCTGGAGTCCCTGGATCGAGTCCCGCATCAGGCTCCCTGCTCGGCGAGGAGCCTGCTTCTCCTTCTAACCCTCCCCCCTCTCATGTACTCTCTCTCTCTCATTCTCGCTCTCTCAAATAAATAAATAAATCTTTAAAAAAAATAAATCTTTTCAGGATTTCTTTACTTGGATTTTTGTTTTCTCATTATGTCTTCTGCAAATGTTTTCTCCCTGCCTGCAACTTCCCTGCTCTTCTGTTTCCTTTGTTTTTTGATGAGCATGTTTTTAATTTTGACAAAATCCAACTTATCAAAAGCACTTTTTAATGAATCATGCTATGTTTTGCCTAGCATTTGCCTGCGATATCTTTTTATACCCTTTTCCCTTCAACTTTTGCTTCTGTCTTGTAAGCAGCATATATCGGGATGTGTTTTATAGCCACTTTCGATACGGGTGTTTTTACCACTAAGTTCGCTCGCTCTGTGTTTATTACAATCGCCAATATACTCAGACTGATTCCTACTACCTTAATTTATTATTTATATTGTTCAACTATCCCTGTTTCTTTTTTCCCCTTTCTTCCCTGTCTTCTAGAACACGTGTCCACAGGAAGGCAAGACCGAGTCTGCGCCTTCTGCCTCCTGGTCTGACTTTCCTAATTCTGTCACCTGGTCGATATCATTTGGACTGTTGATCCTGGGTTACCGTGGATCTATATTCTCTTTGTCTTTGATACTATCTTTCAAAAAAAGATAACAGTAATCTTTATCAGGATACTTGATTTCTTTGACTGAATATCTCTCTTGCAACATTTTCCTTTAAGAGTTTTATCTAAACTGTTTCAAAGGGCGGCAAAGGTTTGCAATCCTATTCCTGAGGATATACTTAAAATGTGGCTCTTAAAGGGAGGTTTGCTCTGTTCTAAGTGATTTTTGTTCACCTCGAACGACACGCAGAACGGCGTGCACATGCATGCATGCATGCGTCCCTGTGCTTGCCTGCTGACCCATGCATGGCCCCTGGCCTCCCTCAGCCTTTCGGAGAGGACAGGAGCGTGCCAGGGGTGACCACCCATGACCAGAACCATGACCTCCTCCACGGCTGCACTTTTGCATATTCTCACATTGAATCATTACATGTGTCCCCTGGGGCTCAAACTGGAACTATCCAGGCAGGCAGGGTCTCCTCAAAAGATGCCTTCATTCTGAGGGAAGACCCTTTTTGCATTTCTAGGCTTTGCATCCGCCTGCACCCGTGGCAGGTCCCCCACCTCCCCACCCCGGGCATCTGCTGGCACGAGGCCCAAGGCCCTTTCCAGTGCCTCCTGCCCTGTTCTGGGGGCCCTGCTAAAGGGAGCGGAGATCTAGGGCCTGACAGAGGACAGGAGTGGGCCCATCACCCCAGTACCCTCCCTGCCCTGGGACTCCCCAGTGCCCCACACCATGCTGCACACCTTGACCCTGCTTGTCTAAAGCCAGCATGAGCAGAAAAGAACGGGGCTCCTGTCTCCTGCCCTGAGGCTGGGACTGGGGTTCTCATCCTTTCTTCTGGGCCGTGTGGGCCTCCCGGTATCTCCCTGTCCTCCCTGGGGTAGGGGGCTCCCTGGCTCAGCTGCAGTGCAACCTGGGCTGGGCCGGGGGCCTGGGGTCATTGCCCCATCACCTAATCTCTTCTCGCGACACAGTGGGGGCCTCAGGGAGTGGCTGAGGCCAGCGGAGAATGGGTCTCCCAGGGGGTCTCGGACAAGTTTCCTGGCAGCCTGAGAACCCCAGGCCCTGGACACCCCCCTCATTTCCCCTCTCTTGGGTGAGCACGGGAGGCCAAGACACTCTGCATGCAAGAAAGATAAAGTACAACTCAGTAGGAAGTTCAGGGCCGGCTGGGGCACTGTCCATGAATCCCAGACAGAGCGGAACAATTCCCATGGAAGGGGTTCCAGGAATCCTGTCCATCCTGGTCCCGAGATGTCCGGTGGGAAACAGGGCGTGGAGTGTGCCAGTTTGCTCAGAACACCCCCACTGCCACGAGTGACTGGGGCCCAGAGAGCAGGACCGTGGGCCAGCGGAACAGGCCCCAAGCCCAAAGGCAGAATGGCTTCAACTTCATCTCTGCCTCAGCCTAAAGTCCCTTCCCTGAGACAGCAGCTGGGTCAGGCCCCTTTCCACCAAATTCCTCACTGCAGACATCAAGTTCATAACCGTGCCCTTCGTGATGGGACCCACTCCCAAAGTGTGGCCCCGAGATTTCCTCCTTTGCCTGCCCAGGGTCCAGCCCGGCCCTCCTGGCAGAGGACGGCAAGGCTGTGACCACCGGCCCCACGGAAGAAGGACCGTTGGGCTGCAGCGTGTCCCCCTGAGAAGGCTGGCCTGCTCTGGCCACTTCCTGTGTTATTAGGATAAATGGGGGCCCTGGAGGGGCGGCCCGGGAAGGAACTGCCGTGGAGAAAGCTGGTGCTGGGGTCTGAGCTCTCTGCCCCTAGGCCCCTGCAGATGCTGTGGTTGCTGTTTCTGACCCTCCCCTGGCTGGGGGGCTCTGTGCCCATGACCCCTGGTGAGTCCTGATCCCCTCCAACGTGCTCAGGGCTCCCGGGACTCAGCCAGGGGGAATGGGGACTGTCCCTTAGGGAAAAGCTTCCCTTGTCCCTTCCTGAGCTCTGGGAAGGTCATTGTCTGGGCCCCTGATGGCCCCTCAACTTGTTTCTGCAGACTCCGGCCCAGGGCGTGAGCTGGTGGGCATAGTGGGGGGCTGTGCTGTCTCAGCCAGGAGGTATCCGTGGCAGGTCAGCCTGAGGTTCTACAGTATGAATCATGGCCCGTGGCAGCACATCTGTGGGGGCTCCCTCATCCACCCCCAGTGGGTGCTGACCGCTGCCCACTGCGTTGAGCCGTGAGTCGTGCCGTCCCCATCCCCATGGCTGGGGGTGTGTGTGTGTGCGCTTGTGTGTGTGCACGTACTGTGTGCGTGAGCAGGGCCCTTCTGCGGGAGGCGGGCTTCCGGAGCCCTCCCCGGCTCTGAGCGCCCCCCAGCCTGCCCTGAGAAGCCCCGGCTCCCCTCTCCCCCAGGGACGACCTGGAGGCTTGTGCCTTCAGGATCCAGGTCGGGCAGCTGAGACTCTATGACCACGACCAGCTGCACAGCGTGGCTGAGATCATCCGCCACCCCAAGTTCAACGTGAGCCTGTCCGCCATGGGGGGCGCGGACATTGCCCTGCTGAGACTGGAGAACCCCCTGACGCTCTCTAAGGATGTGAACCTGGTCTCCCTCCCGGCGGCCTCCCTGAGGGTCCCCTGGAGGAAGATGTGCTGGGTAACCGGCTGGGGTAACATCGCGGACAACTGTAGGCATTAGGGAGACTAGGAAGGATGAGAGGCTGGGGGGGCTGGGCCTTTATGGAAAGTGGCTCACCGCATGCACCTTCTGGGATCCCGGAGTAGGTGGGGTGTGATGCCAGGGTTTTGGATGGGAAGTTTCTGGAACACATCTCAGGAACTGGGAACTTGCTCTGGGCAGGCAAGTTTCCCTGCCGGATCCTACCTGGACTCTGGCCACCAAGGTTGGAGGGCAGACGGGGGCCCTCATGTCATGTGGGAAGAAATCCAGGCTCCCTAGTTTGGGTGACCCACCAAGGTCCCATCTCCTCTGCTGCTGAGGCAGAATTTTCCCAGGGGGCCTGTGGGTTCTGCTGTGGACATGGGCACAGGAGCCCGGACTCTGGCGAGGGGGTCACGCGTCCTGGAGCTGGATGGGCACCCAGACCTTTAGGTGCCGTGTGGCCGACCCTGAGCATGGTGGATGTGGGGAAACAGTACCAGGTCTGGTGCTGGACCCCAGCCCGGCAGTGGGGGGTGCCCTGATGGGCAGGGGAAGGCCCAGCACAAAGTGGAAGGAGTATCTGTGTGGTGGGAAGAGGAGCCCCGGTTCTCACGCAGCTCCTCCCGTTGCCCACAGTGCCGCCTGCCCCCACCCTACCACCTGCAGGAGGTGGAGGTTCCTATCGTGGGGAACAGGGAGTGTAATCACCGCTATCAGAACCTGGACAGCACCGATCAGGTCATCAAGGGCGACATGCTGTGTGCTGGGAGCGAGGGCCGGGACTCCTGCCAGGTGAGGCCCCAGGCGGCCCTGGCCACTTCCTCTGTCCCCTTCTAGCCCAGGAGGATGGGACCTGCCTGTCCCTTAGCCATGGGGACAAGGGAAGCTCTCGCTGAGGGCCTTCTCTCCCCACAGATGGACTCTGGGGGCCCCCTGGTGCCGCTGAAATTGCACCTGGATCCAGGTGGGGATCGTGAGCTGGGGCCAAGGGTGTGGTCACCACGATTTCCCTGGGGTGTACACCCGCGTCATGAGCTACATGTCCTGGATCTGCCGGCATGTCCCTCTGTTCCTCAGACCCTAGAATGGTTGGGCGCCCCATCCTCTTGTCTCAGCACCCTGTTTTCCCTGTGGGGGGCAGGGAAACAGGGGCGAGGTCCCCAGTGGGGAGTACAGAGTGGGAAAAGCCCAGGAATCCTGCTGGAATTGGATTCTTATTAAACGTGGTGGGAAAACCTTCCAAGCCTGCGCATCCATGCTTGACTGTCATGCATTTGGGGCTCAGGGAGTCGGCCGGCCAGGCCCGCCTGTTGGGGTCCCTGGTGCTGGCATCTCCAGGCCATGCAGAGAGGAGAGGGAAGGGTTCCAGGGGCAGGTTTCTGTGCTTCTCTCCCCGAAAGAACGTCAGCTGGGATGGGGTGCTGTTCTCAGCCCCAGACTCCCCTCCCTTCTCTCCTCCTTCCTGCCTCTTCCCTCCGGCCCCACTTAAGCCACGGCTGAGGCATGGGATCCGGAGGGGATGCCCATGGGGTCCTCCTCCCACTGTTCTGCAGAGCCCCCTCCGCTCCTGGACAGTGTGGCTGGCTGGTGCCACAGACCATTTCCTCCCTTTCACCAGCTCCTTTTCTGGATGTTAAAAGTCCCATGTGACGAGTCAAAATGTCCCTGGTTCATTCTGAAAACATGTCCTGTAAGCCTTGGCCCCCTAAGGTCCTCCTGTGGGGGTGGCTTCCCCCTTCAAGGACAACTTCACTGGGAAAACAGGGGTCCTCTCAGGCACCTCTGCATTTTCTGGCTGCTACAGTGATGTGACAGCCAGCTCTGCACCCCACGCAGCTCTCTGTCATAGTCCAGAATGACCAGAGCTCCAGCGCGAAGTCCCTTATCAGGGCCAACAGGCTGCTCCCTGTCCTGCCCCGGACTGCTCAGCTCTCAGAAATCTCAGCTTGGCTCCTTCCCACCAACCCCCAACCCCCCGCCACCTTAAAAAAAAAAAAAGGCAACAAATAAACATTAAATGGAAAGAATTTTAAAAGAGCCCACAGCTTTCATGTTCCTGATTCATTCGTAGCCAATAAACAGGACACAAGGGCCTGGAGAAGCCGCCGAGACCTCTGTGTCCACAATGTGTTGGGGCCTCCTGGGCACCCCTCCCTGCACTGGGGATTTGGGGGTCTGAAAAGAGATAGCCCCCAGGTCTGCAGCAGGACTGTCCTGGGCTTAGCCACCAGGCGGGGGCCCATTGTCCAGCTCCCCCTCGAGGTTGGGAAACCCCTTCTTAGGGATCCATGCAGGGCCGCTTTCCCCATCTCCCCGGTGTGGGTGTGGCCACATGAGCCGGCTGAGCCGAGGAGGGGGCAGGGAGCAGGGTGCTGGGAGCCGGGCTGCTGAGGGCAGAGGAGGTGGGGGGTCAGCTGTGGGGGTCAGTGGGAGTCAGTGGCAGCCCTGCGGGTACTGCAGGGACAGCGTGGGGGACAGCTTCTGGCACCCGAGAGCACCCTCCTGCCCTCTCATCCCTCACCTTGCAGGCTTCAGTACGGAGCAGGGACCCACCCGGGGTCGAGATGACCAGACCCTTCCCCAGACACAGCACCCTCACCTCAGAAACCTCAGCCAGATCCCAGCACTCAGACTGGGAAGCCTTCTCCCCACGCTGGCCGAGGGGGTGTCCAGTCCCGGCAGGAGGGAGGAGGGCTCTGTGGGGGCCACACTGGGTCCCCACTGAGGTCGCTGCACCCCAGCCCTCGCCGGCGCAGGCCAGGTTCCCAGAACTCTTGTGGGTCTGCCTGGGGGAGTTGGTGGTCCCACGGGGGCTGCCCTCCTTCCCAGGTGTGTCCAGAGGGGAGGTGTGGACCCGGGACCTGGGGCTGGGGACCCCGGCTCAGCCCTTATCCTTCAGGTCTGCACTCTGACGAGGCTCCGAGGACAGGCCTTTCCTGACCGGGGGGCATCTCCTGTCTTCCACTGCACTCACTGCCCTGGAGGTATGTGATTCGCCCCAGGACGGGCATTTGTCTACTTTGTCCACTGTGTTCCCAGCACCCATCCCTGGTCAGCCACAATGTGTTCTCTGTAAATGCTGATGCGCTGACCACTCATGCGGGGAAACCCTGCCCTGGAGACCCCCAGCTCTCACCCCACCTACTTCCTCGGCGGGGAGGATAAAGGGGCTCAGAGGCCCCAGGAGCAGACAGCAGAGGACCTGGAGTAGTAAGGACCCCACTCAGACCCCTGCCCTCTCCACTCCCAGACCCGGAGGTCCTGGCCCTGGTCTCCTGACTCCAGGCCTCCCCTCTCCCCACGCAGATGCTGTGGCTGATGTTCCTGACCCTCCCCTGCCTGGGGGGCTCTGTGCCCATGACCCCAGGTGAGTCCTAGCCCCAAGCAATAACCCTGCTGTCCTGAAACCCACTGGTGATCGCGAGCCTGCACTGACCTGGGGTGGGACAGGGTGCTGACCTCCACATGAGGATGGCCCGTGGGAGACACAAGGTGGGAGGCTGTGCTGAGCTCTAGGCAGGGGCATCTGGGTCCCTGAGGGCTCCTCATTGTGCTTCCCCAGATCCTTGCCTGGGGACTGAGCTGTGAGCATTGTGGGGGAGCACGATGTCCCTGCTGGGAAGTGGCCGTGGCAGGTCAGCCTGCGGGTCTTCAACAGAGTGTGCCCAGTGGCAGCATGAATGTCGGGGGCTTCCTCATCCACCCCCAGTGGGTGCTGACCACTGCCCACTGTGCTGGACCGTGAGTGATTCACGTGGCTGCCCCCTTGGGGGTGGGTGGGAGGGGAGCAAGCCAGGGAGCAACACAATGTGAGAGGACAGCGTCCTGGGCCAGGTGCAGGAGACCTGGGGTTCACGCAGCTCTGAAGCTGTCAGGGGGAGCCTTCCGGCTCTGAGCCCCTAGAGACAGTCTTGCTGCTGAGGGTTGGGGGGACCAGGTGCCTGCCTCCACTCAGCCTCCTTGAGAAGCTCCTGGGCCTCTCTCTCCCAGGGATGTGCTAGAGCCACAGAAATACAGGGTCCAGGTCAGGCCGCTGAGACTCTATGACCACGACCAGCTGCACAGGTGGCCGAGATCATCCGCCACCCCAAGTTTACCCTGAGCCTGTCCGCCATGGGGGGCGCGGACATCGCCCTGCTGAGACTGGACAACCCTGTGACGCTCTCTGGGCTCGTGAGCCCGGTCACCCTTGCTCCCGATTCACTGGTGCTCATCCCTGGAATGAAGTGCTGGGTGACTGGTTGGGGCACCTTTGGGGTCCATGGTAAGATTGGGGGACCTGAGGATGGACAAGGAAGAGGTTGTGGGTGCGGTGTGTGGGGACCACATGGCCGACGGCCTCAGTTGCAGGAGGGGGGGTGGGGGGACATGACCAGGTCACAGATGTACCACAGGACTACGGGCCATCTGCCCCCAACCGGGCTCTGGGACGCATCTGAAAACACTCTTGTTTAAACTTGGACAACATCCCAAGAGCAAGTGGGCATTCTGTTTGCAGCTGGGGAAGCCAGTCGCTCAGGACTCAGTCTCGGGGGAGGGGCTTTATTCCTGTGTTTTCCCAGTAAAAACTGCTGGGGGAGAACAGATCCCCTCGCTTCCCTTGCCTGTCCCTATTTACCGAGGCTGTGTGCCCACCGGCGGTTAAGATGGGGAAACTGAGGCACGGGCTCATGATCACACAGTGGTCCTGGGAGAGGCTCCCTCCCCACCCCGGCTCCTGGCTCCAGGGCTGGTGTTGCTGGCCATGGGGCAACCCCCCAAAACCAGGACCTCCAGGATGTGTGGGAGGGTGTGACCCCTCCTCCCGCATGGCCCCGTGTGGTGATTATCAGACGCCAGGGAACCGCATGGCTCCAGACCCCAAAGGTCCCCCAAAGCCAGTCCCAGCTCTTTCATGGGGTCTGGCTTTGAGGGGCCCTTCCCCTGGCGTAGCCCCACTCTCCTGACTGCCAGAATATTGCAGCTCTGCTTCCTGGCTATTACTCAAGCAGCAATACCCTCGGAAAACTGACCCCACGATGGTCAGTCTGACACGGCAGGCTCTTTGCTGTGGCTATTTTTTCCAGATGGCTTTTCTCCTGTTTATTCAAGCCTGGCCTTTACTGTCATGGTCTAGCTTTCAGACACATGACACTGAATTGGCCATGACTCCCTTCCTTTTTCCATCGAAGCTATGGTATGATGTGTGAGTCTGAGAGGTGAGGCCCAGACGCGTGACTTGGGGCCGGCTGGAGGGGCATGAGGCACCGGAGCAGCGCACACTCACCCTCCGCTCCTGCAGCACTACCGTCCCCAGCCCGCTGCCTGCAGGAGGCGGAGGTCCCCATCGTGAGCAACCGGGTCTGCGAGAAGATCTGACACCAGGACCCACCTGCTGGACGCAAAGGCAGCACCATCAAGGAGGACATGCTGTGTGCAGGGAGGAAGGGAAGGGGCTCCCTCCCGGTGAGACCCAGGCCCCGCCCTCTGCTGTGGTTCAGGGCTTCTGGGCATGGCAGTGGGACCACCGTGGCACTCTGTGGCCAACTGACCTGTGATCACCCTTTACAGGGTGACACCGGGGGTCCCCTGGTCCGTTACTGGCTGAACATGTGGATCCAAGTTGGAGTGCTGAGCTGGGGTGCGGCCTCTGGGCACATCGATTATCCTGGGGTCTATACCCAGGTGACAACCTACTCGTCCTGGATCCACCAGCACATCCCCTTGGAGCCCTGATGGGCCTGTGTGGGCAGAGGAACCAGGCACCCCCACTGCTTCCCCCTGTTCAGCAACACCGTCTCCTCAGTGCCCTGTCCTTCTCTGACTTTGGGGCCCAGGAGGCCGAGGTGGGGCTCGGAGGCTGGTGTCTCCCTGACAGTGGGCAGGTTGGGTAAGAAGTGCCAGGGACCTTGCCTCCTACCCGCTACTGCTGTCCTATTAAACTGTGTGCAAAGCAGCCTCAAGGATTTCTGTGTGTCCTTGACCGTGGTGGGGGGAGCTTCCTGGTCCTTCCTGGGTTCCAAGGCTCTGAAAGCTTCAGGGGCTGCATCTGCTGGCAGCGCTGGGTGGCTGAGCCGGGGAGACCCTGTGGTTACTGCCCTGCCC